AATGAGAAGTGAGCGAGCAGGCGACCTGGCCCACGCGCCATGGCGGGCAGCAAGCGGTGTGTTGGTTCTGTAACGCCCAAATGTCGGGTACCCCTCAGCTCCACCTTCTGAGCAACGTTCCTCTCCTAAACGAATTATGGACACGCTCTGAACATAATCCCATGCCCTTCAGAATTTGCTGCTGCCATATATATACACGTGTGTGTGTGTGTGTGCATATGCATACATGCACGCGGATGCAAAAATCTACTGCCACGGGTCAGTTTAAGGCGACAGGTCTCTCAGGACAAGGTTTTCCAGCTCAAACACAGGAACTTGCAAGTGAAACAAAGTGAATTTGTTTCCTGAAACAGAAAGCAAAGCCCAGAGGCTTCCCATAACACTGTCTGCAAGAAAGTAAGCTTATTTTTTCAAAACCCTTCTGAACTTCATGTCAGGAATAGAAACCAGGATGCTGTAGTTGTTCTAGAAGGACTGGCATAAACAAACAAAAGGAACAAATGACTGTCGGCACCAGCAGCTTGAGCTACTGCAGCCGCAGCAGGCTCCGCTTTCTGCACGCTGCTTCCCGCAGCCGCCGAGCCCGGCTGCTTGTTGCGTCCTCTCGTACGCAAAGCACCTAATCGCCTCCTTTGGGCTCTCTCAAATCCACTGGCATTTGCAAGCGCCTCCTGATGCAGCTACGGTTGTGATGAATATTTGCGGTAACTCAACAGGACAATGCATAAAATAGAAATGAATTCCATCCACCCCTCAGGTTCACATTAAATAGAAGCATACAGCTAATATCTTTCTATGACTAATAAAAGTGAGATATATGTGACAAAGTCAAGAAAAAGGAGCTGCTTTGGTAAGATACCTTTAGTATCTTTAGGTGTATCTTTAGGTGTCTTACGCCTCACAAATAATATCAAACTCTACAAGAAATATTTCAATAAGCCTTGATTTTTTTTCATGCACAGAAATGGAATAGGTGTCAGCTCTCAAGCAAGTGCTGGCAGTGAAGGGTCTGTGGGAAAAGGCCTCTCCTCCCGCCTCTCACCATATAAAAGCTGGCCAAGGTCACAGGCAGCTGCTTTCTTACCTGGCAGCACCTTCTTGGCAGGCCGGCAGGGACAGAATAATCACGCTGCTCACGCCACCCCCTTGCTCGGCACTTGCTGTCATGCGTGCAGGACGTTGAAGGACAGCCCGCACGCCATTCAGATGTCCTACTGCAGCGCCAGCCGACCTAGCAATGCCCAAATGGGAAGGACTGGGGAAAAAAAGCCTCCTATAAAAGCCTTGTACCAGCAAGCCAGTTGATCATGAGTAATGGGCCGCGTTCTGCTGATTGGTTTTGGTGATGTTTTGTATTTCAGAGATCCTACTGAAGAGAAATAAGTAAATAAAATAGAAGTTTTACTAGTAAATGAATGTATAAGGGCAGATCCCCTTCTGTCTCAGCATTCATTGTATTTCAGAGTGCAGGGGTGTACTTGGCTGTCTTTCCTCTGCTTGCAGCTGCTGCTGTGTCCACTGCTGAGAACATCTAACCATGTTCATTTCTCTGATTCAGGAATAATTCCCAGGAATTCCTGATCTTAGACATTATCCTGATCACTAGAAAATAGTTGTGTAAACCATATGCAAAATACAACAAGACTTTTCCTAGTGATCAGCCCAGGGACATCAGTCCTTTCTTCAGTTTGCAGTGGTGGAACGTGGAGATCTGAAGATCCAGCAGTCCAGCTCTGCATTTCAGTCACACAAAAGATACTTTGTACCTGTACAGGATAGAATTTCTTTGGTTTTATTGCTTTTTTTAGTCTACTTTCTTAAGGTAATGAGTTTTGTGTAATAACACTCTGTATGTGTGCATGTTTCAAACAGCTTGTTGCAAACTTTTGATTTTTTTCAACTGATTGATATCACCTTAAAAAAACAACAACAACAACAAACCAAAAAAAGCAGAGAGCTCAGAGATATTAAGTCCTGCATGTTTTGTAAAGACAGCTGTCTGGGAGGACAGATTGAGCTAATGTTCCTGCAGAAGGAAAAAAAGTGAGAAAGCAAGCAGACTGGCAAAAGTGATTACTAGACATCAGAAAACCCACCTGGGAGACAGCTATTATAAATTCTTTAAACACAAACATATTTAATTCATACAGTATCTGCTTTACTGGAGGAGGAATTATGACTGAAAAACAGAACTCCTAATGTTGAATAGCTGACAAAATTTTATTAAAGCCTTTACCAAGCTTTTTTCAGGAAAGTGAATATGTATTTTTAAATTTCTATTAACAGAAGAACCCATGCCTTAGCTTTCAGATTAATTCAGCTAAAAAGCCAGGCAGCCACAAGACCCACATGGATTAGAAATCAGGTTTCATTAGTTTCAATGCTCACCAAACTAGTTTTTCTTATAAATTGAGTTGATTTAGTTCACACAATTAGAAAACATAATTTTAAAAAGGATTTCATGTTCTGCAACCTTTGTAGTTACAGGTGGGTTTGATTTCAATCACATGTCACATCTTGATGGCTTTGGTGATCATCCAGAAGCTGTAGAGGTTTACAGGGCTCCTAAGAAAGACCAGTTTCTAAAGAATGCTGAAAGCTCTTCGTTCTTCCTTCCTTTTCTACTATTGTAAAGAGGTATATATCCTCAGGTCATTGCAGGAAATAGGGACAAAACAGGTACATGGTATAAAAGGTTTCTCCCTTCTGGTACCAATGACCAGAACTGTTGAAGGTACCTGATTTCCTTCCTTTTGAAAAGACTAGTGATTTTCATTCCATTTTGAAATACAGAAATTTAAAGTAGCAAACCCAGCAGCGAACAAAATAACAAAGAGATGAAGAAAATTATAGTCTGTCCACCCTAATGTTCCAGTTCCCTCATCTCTCTCTCCTTTACGGATACCGAGTGTGACAGATGATCCTTACAGGGTCGATCTGAATGCTGGCAAATTCAGACTGTTATGCCTTGGTGGAGGCTTGAGAATGAAGACTTTCGAGAGAGCTGCATGTACAATGAAGTGTCTCATTTATTAAAATTAAATGAGAAAATGATTAGAAACATGTGCCCCTTCAAACTGGTAAGTGTAATAAGCCTGGGCTGTATAAGGCTTTATGTATCTGATACAAAATAGCTTGTCAAAACAGCAATGTCATATATTGATCATAATAGACATAATCATATTAATAAAGCCTGTACTTCACAGGAAGCAGCCACATGTCTTACTGCTGTCATGGATATACAGAAAATTGGGATCATACAAGTTGCCCAAAACATATGTTCCTTGCAGGCTTACACATTTTATTATTTGCATTTCCTATGTAGCTATGCCTTTTCTGACAGAGCTCCACGTGCAAAGCACTGTCAAGCTGTGTGTATGACTTCAAGCTTTTTTTCTGCCGCTCTCTTATTGCTAAAAAGAAAGTATTGTAGCAATGACCCCAAAGCTGAGAAAAAAAAACAACAGAACAGAGTACATGTCCTGTAATCCTTGAAAGGATTGATTAATATAGAAAGCAGGGGTATCCATATTAGAATACAGATATCCATATATTGTATGCAAACACCAAAGAGGGAGGTGTATGTGAATAGTAGTTGATTCTACAGTTCTCTAATGTCATTGCCAAAGAGATTAAAGTTTAATCCCAGGTCACCAAAGCCAATAAGATTTGCACTGCTGATATCGGTGGGTGAAAATTCTTATAGAGGTTTCAACCTAAAAAACAGTCTCCAAAATGATTAAATTCATAGTTTCTGTTGTTGTGCAAGTAAGCCTAGGACCCAGTATTAATAATATTGCTGTGTGAAGTTCTGCATATTCCTATGGACAGCTTAATCAGCCTGAGAAATATCTTAACTGTCAAAAAAAGTGTTCTCTCATCTGAAACACCTCTCCTTGTGTGGGAGTATTTTACTAGTGACATTGAAGTAACTTTAAACTCTTCTTGCACCTTATAACACCCACAGTCAGCGTGGTACCTTAAAAAAATTTTGCACACAATCACGTAATAGTGTTAAAAGACCAACTAAAACTTTCTTTAAAATTACTCAGGCTCGTTTTCTACCTGTAAGATAATCTTTCGGAAAGTTATTTGGAAATAATTAAATCAAAAGATGCTTATTTGTATGCATCCACATTTAACCCGTATGCTCACATTTTACCCCTCTGTTTCAATAAAACTGGATGACTGTGTAATTATTTGGCTGAACACA